ATAGTTGGATTGAGTGTTTGAGTTGTTTACTGCATGAGTAGTACTTAAATTTATAACACTTTCTTTGTTTTAACTGCTTGAAGATTGATGGTTTCTGTTATGGGGTAAGTACATTGGGACCTCAGATCTTGTTTTCTTTTTTCGGTGCTTAGGGACATTGGTGTTAGGCAGGGGAAGGTTCATTGGAAGGTCCGATGGGTCGACCAGCCTGAATGTGGACATTGTTTTGGTTTTATTTTCTGAGGTTTCCATATGTATTTGCTTAGGTCATATTCCTACACGATTTATTAAAATTCCTCCTTTTTAAAATAGTCTGGAGTACTTTATGTGGTCGCCTAAGGCAGAGGGGCCATGAGAGAATTTTTCCTGTCTAGATTGTTTGACGGATATTGCAGGAATGATAGCTGCCTGACAGGTTTTTTCACTCTCACACTCCAGAAAGTTGTTGAATTGCTAAGCTAATGCTGTAGGAATCATGTGTAGGTGGAACTGTTATTTTGTTACAACTGCAAACATGTATGTGTTACTTTTTGGTTTTTCGAGACTTTGCGGAAGCCTCAAAGGGGGGAATATGAGGTGTATTTAGAAGAGTGCTTTTATAGAAAAAGGCAAAAACACTCTTAAGGTTTAGTATAAGTTGATATTGTAGTGTCCTGTTTTTGCAGGTTTTGGAATGTTTAAGTTAAGGGGGCCCCTGGTTTAAAGGTCCCCATTGGGAGTGGGCATCTCCAAATTCCAAATAGATGAGATCCTTTTAATAAGGACCAGGTGTTCTGTCTCCTTTTTTGAAAACAAGCAGCCATTGGCTATAGTGTTCTGGAGGGGACACTTTAGAATTGGCATGGATCCCCTCTCAGGTACTTTATAGTGCTTGATTTGATACTGTTTTACTTTGTAATAAACATCTTATACAAGGAAGAGGGTGTCAGTGGTGTCTCCTTCATCATCTTCACATCATCGCTACTTAATAAACAACACTATATTACACATTTACTTAGTAGTGCTATCTTTTTTGATACTCAGTTTGTGTGCAAAATACAAAACTTTTAGGAGGTGGTAAGTTTATTTTGGTACAAAAATGGCTGAATTCCTACAAATTTTAAAATTCTGTGAGGATTTACATCATAAATGATGACATATCTGACTAGTCTAAGGTCTCCATAAAAAAACAGCATACAGTATGTGACTGTCTCATATAAATACTTCGTAAGTGGCCAATAAAGAGGAAAGAATGATGTAAAATAAGCCTAGATTTCAAAAGATGAAAGTAGATTGAATAATTCAGCCATTCATTTAGTCGATTTCTTAGTTGATTTAATTCATTCTTTAATACCTTTATGTCTTTAACTGAAAACTAATTTTGACAACAGCTAATTCTTTTCATTGTTCAAATCCTGATCAGAGAGCGAAATGAGAAGGTCCTTCACCAAGTTGTGCACAATCAGTAAAAGAGAGAGATAAAGTGAGAGAGAGATGAAGTGAGAGAGAGAGAAAGATAGAGAGCAGAGAGTTTTGCATTAACTGAATTAGCTGAATCTTTCCGTTTCTGAGCTTAACTGCTCAAAAAGAACAGACACTGTTCATAAAGTGTGTCAGGTCTGTCAGGCTGCTGAACACTGTCTCTGTCCTGGAGCTGCTGCAGTACTGTTTCCCATCAGAGACGCATTAGGACTTGTGTATTTATACCTGGCAGCTTCCACAAGAGTCTACAAGCTCTCTCGCTCTCATGATGAGTTTCTCAGCCATAGATTTGATGTTTCCTGCTGTTGTTTCTGTTTCATCCTCTGTGTGACTGATGACAGCATGATCATCACAGCCTCACTTCAGATGTCATTACATCACGATTAAGGCTCGATACACAGCCTGTCAATATTCAGCAAGACAGTAACTCAACATCTGTACCATCTGTACAGAACTATCTGGTGAAGAAGTGGAGTGAACTGCACCTTAAAGAAACAGTATTAATCTCACTGAGATCTCAGTCTCATATGACCTGTTCAGGCCAAACTGCCCCCATCAGCTGTTCTTAGAAATGAGTGTGACGTCACTGTAAAATATGAAATGCTGTTTATTTTTCTCATGAATAAAACAGTCTACAAATTTAAAATAACAGTCGTTCTGTCCAATCAGATGTAGAAAATTGACATTAATATACTGTTTAAATGAACTGACATGTAAATGAGTGTGAAAGTGAATTTCTCTAATGTGCTGCACACACACACACACACCCACACACTCAAACACACACACACACACACACACTCACACACACACACACACACACACACACACTCACATTCATATCTGCCTCAGTCTTGATGGGCTTTGTGTTTGTGAAACTCAGATTTGCACGAGCAGGATGGTCTTCCCTTCCCAGAAAGAAGCAGCTCTGTGTCCAGATGTTCATCATCTCCAGAGTTCAGAGTTCAGAGCAGCATCGCTTTAGTTTCAGCACCACCATGAAGATCCAACCTGCCTCAGTCTAGCATTCACTGACTACAGATACAGAGGAGACTGTGACCTGAATACTGTGATTATATACATTAACAAGGAAAACAATATAATACCACTCATATAAATACTTAATGTTCACTGATAACGTTTAAAAAATGTGTCTTCTTTATTTACATTGTCTAAATATATTTTAAAGTTGAATTGAATCTGTCCTGAAAAAAAAATAAATAATAATTTACAGATACTTTAATCCCTCATTGATCTCCATCATGATCATTAATGATACTCTGTAGATCATTAGATGTGCCTGGAAATGTTCTCCTACATTAACAGCAAGAACTTCACAGACTTAAAGACTCTCTAAAGCATTTCTAAGTGAGTCTAATGATAGAGAAAAAAATCTACCTTCAGACAGTAAAACATACAGTGTTGTTGATTGAAATTCTTTATTTTCTTTAGTCAAATAATCAGATCATCATTTCAGCATTAATCACAGACGTGTTTGAGCTCATTTGAGAATGAGAGGAGCTCTATCAGCTGAAACCCCCATGTGGTCCTCACTGCTCAGCACTGATCTCTCCTCAGTGTCTGGCTGACAGGAGGCTGGGAGTCCTTGGTGGCCTCACAGGTCACTGTGTTCTTTAGCCACTGCTCCTCCTGGAGGGTCAGGGTGCTGCTCCAGCTGTAGAGGCCGTCGTCCTTCTGCAGAAGCCCAGGGCTCTGGCTAACCCCCGAGCTCCAGCTGCTCCCACCCACCTTCCAGCTCAGCCTCCAGTCTGAGGGGAAGCCCTTGTTGGCCAAACACACTAGTGTGGCCTTCCCCTGCTGGAGCCCCTCGCTAGAGGGGGGCAGGACTGTGAGGGTGGGCGGGGATGAACCTAGGAGACACAAACACAGGAAGGGACACATGTCAATCAACCAGCACAGACACACCAGAGTGGGTTTCACTTCTCTTATTTTGTCCAGAGCTGGACTGAGTTCAGTGGAGCATTAAAATGTTTCACCCTCTAATTATAACCTGCTTTACAGTTTAAACTGCCTCTCAGACTAATCTGCAGTTACTCATCTCAAAAAGCGTCTGAATATATGAAACATACAATTTTCAGACATGTTTTCACTTAATTTATAAAAATAGATAATTTAATGCTTTCAATAATATATAATATTAAATTCAAGATGAATTTAGTGCATGAAGATCAATAAATAAGTTAAATAAAACTTAATAGAACTATTAAATATATCAATGAGTCTATATGTAGATTTTAAAATCTCTATAAGAATTTACAGTAACTGACAAGGTGATTGCTCAATATGAGAATGAGAACTGTGGAGCAATAAAGACAAATGTATTACTTTAAAAATAAACTCAGAAATTTTACACAACTTAAGAGAAATTTGCTGATTTTTTATGCTTTTACTAACAACTTTTCAGAAAGACAGTTGATGAAAAATCTTTATTCTAAACTTCAACAGTTAAAACAATAAAGTACTAAATAAATAAAATTCCACAACTTACAAAAAACATCAAGAACATTAATAGTCTATTTTCGAATTTATCTACTGATTAATTTTGAGTAAGAAATAAAAAGCTACTTACGGCCAACTGACAGTTTGGTTCCCCCACCAAAAGTCCACCACAGTGATACAAACTCATTCAGCGTCTGTACAAAAACCTCCTGCTCTAAAGACTCTGCTCTCTCTGTGCTTCACTAACAGCTTTTTCATATCAGTCATTAAATACTGATGAGTTTTATAATCAACAGATAAATGTATAAATTCTGAAACCCTAAACTTTTTTTTTTTACTTTTTTGAAATTGTTTGTCTGAACCATGGTGATACATTGATATATTTGTTCTCAAACTGCTTATTTATTCATTGATTTAATTTGTCCTTGAAAATTAAATAAACATAAATTGTTATAAGAACAGAGAAGTTAAAGTTAAAGAGCTGCTCCACTGCAAAAATGTCTTATTGCTTCTGTTGAGTAACAAAAATTAACATGGATAAATGAACATAAACTGATTTTCTGCTAAAAGAGAGAAAAGTATTGTAATAAAATGTGTATTTTCTTACTCCCTGCATGCAGTTTAGCTCCTCCACCAAAAACTCCTGCACTGAGAGACAGACTGACAGCAGTAGCTGCAAAATCCCTCAAGAGAAAGACTGATACACTTTAAACTGAACAATATGAGATCGCCCCCCACTGGACATTAAGAGAATATCACACTGATCTGGAAAGGCAGATTGCTGAGCTGTGAGAAGATCAACTGTGTCTTAAACAGTTTACAGTGTGTTCAGTTCAACACATTTCAGCAACAACAGAAGCTGATAAACAACACATATAAACATTTTCATGCTTCTGTCTGATATTCAGCAGCTCTAAACTGAACCATGAAGAACTCCTTCTGTTTCCATGCTGTCATACTCAATGTCACATGATCACTGCAGCCAATAGAGTCATTTCCATAGAGAGAGCTGACTTTGCATTATCAGCACATGCTTCAGTGCTCTGGGAGAGTTTATAGTCCTGTGAGTTTAACACTTCATGACTGAGAGCTGCTGCCCACAAACTTCACCCACAGCAGACATGACTTTGACCACCATCTTCATCTGGACTCTGATCTTCTGGACTCAAGGTAACTCACTGTTACACATTTAACTTTATGATGGTGTTTAATGGAGACATTTTAAAACATGTGCATGTGAGGGGCTTATTTTAAAAAATAATAATATCATGTGTATTTAATTATATTTATAAATATTTCTAATTTATGAGTCATCTTGAATTCTTGTTATATTATTTCAGGATCCAGAGGTCAGGCGACTGTGACTCAGACTCCTGCAGTGAAATCTGCTCTTCCAGGAGAAACAGTCACCATCAGCTGTAGAACCAGCCCTGCAGTTTATAGTAACCATTTCTCCTGGTACCTGCAGAAACCTGGAGAAGCTCCTAAACTCCTGATCTACACCACTAGCAGCTTACAGTCAGGAACTCCAGCTCGTTTCAGAGGCAGTGGATCTGGATCTGACTTCACTCTGACCATCAGTGGAGTCCAGACTGAAGATGATGGAGATTATTACTGCCTGGGTGTATTTTACATCAGTAGTAGATACTCGTTCACACAGTGATACAGAGCCGTACAAAAAGCTGTGAGAGTCAGAGACACAGAGACTGCACTGCTGCAGCTGAGACCTACTGCAGGTGCTGAGGGGGAGGATGTGATACAGCACAATCACACACTCTGTGGAGGAGAGGAAACACACCACACTAACACACAACTCAACACACATCTATAAATAAGCACAAAGCAGTACTGCAGAACAGAACTGGTTTGAGTTTGTGTCAGTTTTTGTTGAAAATTTATTGGATCCTAAAAAATGTGATCTTCAGCTTTTTATGATCCAAAATTGCAACATCAAAAAAATAGTATTTCACTCTGATGAGACACTCAGTTTTCTATAATGGACCCCATAAAATCAGTTCACCACAAATGTCTTCAGTTCTCATCCAAATGTCTAATTAGATCAATATCATTTTAAAACAATTTACTATTAATTATGTGAACAAAAGGATCAAATACTTTGAATAAAGTGGGTCTCATGGGGACCAGACTGGGACAGGCAGTCCAAAGATGATCTCACAATCTGAGAGCATGTCTGAGTCAAGAATCAGCAAATCCAGGGAGAAGTGAACAGTGTCAGTATCGGCTGTTTATGGGAGAATGTGTAAATCTGACCTGGTGGGAAAATAAAAGATAAAAAGAAGAAACAAAACTGTATCAACGTAAGTGAAAACTGGATATTGGCTGTTATGGAGTGATGAATCTGAAATATTTATATGACACAGTAAAGTTGAGCGCATGAGCTTTGCATGTGTGATTCCCACCATAAAGCTTGGAGGAGGCAGGGTGATGACCTAGGACTGCATTGTTGGTCAAAGAGCTGGAGATCTTTACCACATACCCTCAATAATGCCAGTGACCATGACCATCAGAGAGGAGTGTGATTCTGTCAGAATTATGATGAGAAAGGCTGTTCTTCGATTTATAGCACAGCAACTTAAAATCTTTCTCAGCTAGAACAGAAATATCTGATGAAGAAGGAAAATGAAATGCAACACAAACAAATGATCTGGTCAACTGAGCTTTTAGATTTCAGTATCACTGGAATTGTAGGGGTTAAACTGGACTGAAAGGTAAAGCAAAGCAATCTTTCAGGACTGTGTGCAGCATGAAGGATGAACATCTCCTTTACTGGCAGCACATGTATAAGAATGTGAAAGTTTTTAGTTTGACTAATTTGCTAGTAATAAAAATATTAAAAATATTGTCTCAGACAACATGAATTGCATATTATTTGCATCTATGAAAAAATTGCAAATAATTTGAATACATATGATTATTAAATGTATATATTTTTGTAAATGAAATTAATTTACAACAAAATTGCAAATACTTTCTGTACATATACGTACAAATAATTTTCCTACATGAAGATCCAACCTGCCTAAAGCTGCAGTCACACCGAACACGAGTAAAATCTGCCTTGAGGATAAAATCAATTCACTTGAATGCAAAAGATGTGAGCACAGAAAATCAATTCACCTCAATTAGAGTTACATTTCAATTCCTGCTGAGTTCATCTAGGTGACCTTGATTTCCAAGCAATTAAAAGACAAGAAGGTGGTCTCTTCTCTCTGTCAACATAATGTTGCGTGTCACTCACAGTTTCAATAAAATAAACTAGTTACTCAGCTAACATTTATTGAACTATATTTTCCCTCCAAAACCATCTGTACCGTCTCTACTCACCTGACTTTTGCTCCACACTGCAAAGAAAACACTGAGGCAGCAGTGCAGTGTGACCACAGCTTATTCCACCATTTACTGTATCTACTGTGATCACATCCTACAAATATTAAACAGGATAAGACAAATAAAAATACTATAAGTAATATAAAATATTCACTACATGATACTAAAAATTACATACCAGTTTGATGAATGATAAAGTGATTAAACCTATTTCTAAATAAAATCGTGAAGGTGAATTGGTCCAGTTGATTCAGATTAATCGTATGATGACTTTCTAACACTTTATCACTGTCATCATCAGACATGGCTGGAAAGATTTGCCACAACATTAGATTTTAATGACATTTAAGGTGTTTATTTTGGTGGGAAAATACAATAAAATAAAGCACTACATTGTTGTTGGTTGAAACTCTTTATTTTATTTGGACAAATAATCAGATCATCATTCCAGCATTAATCACAGACGTGTTTGAGCTCATTTGAGAGTGAGAGGAGCTCTATCAGCTGAAACCCCCGCGTGGTTCTCACTGCTCAGCACTGATCTCTCCTCAGTGTCTGGCTGACAGGAGGCTGGGAGTCCTTGGTGGCCTCACAGGTCACTGTGTTCTTTAGCCACTGCTCCTCCTGGAGGGTCAGGGTGCTGCTCCAGCTGTAGAGGCCGTCGTCCTTCTGCAGAAGCCCGGGGCTCTGGCTAACCCCTGAGGTCCAGCTGCTCCCACCCACCTTCCAGCTCAGCCTCCAGTCTGAGGGGAAGCCCTTGTTGGCCAAACACACAAGTGTGGCCTTCCCCTGCTGGAGCCCCTCACTGGAGGGGGGCAGGACTGTGAGGGTGGGTGAGGCCAAACCTAGGAGACACAAACACAGGAAGGGACACGTGTCAATCAACCAGCACAGACACACCAGAGTGGGTTTCACTCCTCTTATTTTGTACAGAGCTGAACTGAGTTCAGTGGGGCATTAAAATGTTTCACCCTCTAATTATAACTTGCTTTACAGTTTAAACTGTTTCTCAGACTAATCTGCAGTTACTCATCTCAAAAAGATTCTGAATTTATGAAACATTTCATTATAAGAAAAGCATTTTATTCACTTCATTTACAAAATAAGGACATTTAATGCATTCAATAATTTATAATATTAAATTCAATTTAATTTGAGCTCATGAAGATCAATAAATGAAAAAAAGAAAAAAACATAAAAAAACTATAAAATATATGAATCAGAGAGACACCGACTATATGCAGATTTCAAAATGTCTATAAGAATTTACAGTAACTGACATGGTAAATGCTCAACATGAGAATGAGGACTGTGGAGCAATAAAGACAAATCTATTACTTTTAAATATGAACTCAGTAATTTTACCCACATTGAGAGAAATTGCTGACTTTTTTTAAGGTTTTACCAACATATTTTCAGATAGACAGTTGATGAAAATCTTTATTCTAAACTGCAACAGTTAAAACAATAAAGTACTAAATAAATAAAACTACATAATTTACAAAAACCTTCAAGTACATTAATAGACTTTTCCAGAATTTATTACCAGATTAATTATGAATAAGAAATAAAAAGCTACTTATGGCCAACTGACAGTTTGGTTCCTCCACCAAAAGTCCACCACAGTGATACAAACTCATTTAGCGCCTGTACAAAAACCTCTTGCTCTAAAGACTCTGCTCTTTCTGTGCTTTACTAACAGCTTTTTCATATCAGTCATTAAATACTGATGAGTTTTATAATCAACAGATAAATGTATAAATTCTGAGAACCTGAACTTTTGTTTCTGTACATTTTTAAACTTGTTTTTTCTGAACTGTGTTGACACTTTATTATATCCATTCTCTAACTGCTTATTTATTCATTAATCTGTAATATCATTACAAAATATTAACACTTTTTTGTTTAAATTGACTTTAATTTGACCTTTAAAAATGACATAAAAATAAATTGTTACAAGAACAAAAATAGTTAAAGAGCTGCGGTGTATAAAAAACTTATTGGTTCCTTTGAGGAACGAAGATGAACATGAATAAATATGAATATAAGTTGATTTCCTGCTAAAAGAGAGAAAAGTATTTTAATAAAATGTGTATTTTTTTACTCCCTGCATGCAGTTTAGTTCCTCCACCAAAAACTCCTGCACTGAGAGACAGACTGACAGCAGTAGCTGCAAAATCCCTCAAGAGAAAGACTGATACACTTTAAACTGAACAATATGAGATCGCCCCCCACTGGACATTAAGAGAATATCACACTGATCTGGAAAGGCAGATTGCTGAGCTGTGAGAAGATCAACTGTGGAGATCAGGAGAGTGAAGATTCACATTTGAATCACAGTAAAAACCTCAAACTGACAATAAATCTCTACATTATACACAATAAAACAGTCTTAAACAGTTTACAGTGTGTTCACATCTCAGCACTTGTGGCAGTTACACTATATTACACTATATTACTATATACACTATATTGTTCACTTCAGGGATTTTATTTTGAAATCAGCGAGGGCTTTTAACTGTTGGAGCAATTCATTGAGAAGAGAAAGGGGGGATTATTAGATGTGAAAGTATTCTCTGTCAAATTCTTAGTTTTATTTATTTTATTGTTTCTTTTATCTCCTGCAAAATATTCAGCTTGAGGAATGTATAAAAGACAAGTCTGATTTACTAGAGCAAGTTCAACATGGGCAGAGTTTTAGCAGCCTTTACTTGAGTGGAGTACAAAGTAAGCTCTTTGGAAAACGCCACTGTGAGAGGAGGTATGTGCTGGCGCAGCTCCGTAATTTTGAGTTAAAACACAATTAGTATTTTCCAGTTTTCGACATAAAATGAGTTCATTCAGTCACAAACACATTATACCACGCACTGATTATGCTGTTGTGCAGTCAAAACATTGTTTTACATAGTTTTAGTATGTTTTTACTCGCTGTTGGCCACAAGTTCTGTTAAGGCGGAACGTTAAGGTGGAATGCTAATTACGGAGTTAGAGTATGGATGCTAATTGTTCACAGGACATTTCTTGTTTGTTTTGCCTAATATGACAAGAATAAACCAACAGTGCGTGCATTTGGTTGTTTTTAAAGAAGAGCCGTAACTTTTATTCACAATTTTAGGGTTTTTATACTTCTTGTAGTGTAACAGCTATGTTCTAATACGAGTGCACGGTGTTTAACAGGCGCAGCTGAGAGCACAGGAGTGTGTACAGCATACTGTTCACTTTATATATATATATATATATATATATATATATATATATATATATATATATATACACATTATTATTATTGTTATTGCTATTGTTATTTTCTTTTAATATGTGATTGATGAAATGCTCTTTGGAAAAGCCACTGTGAGAGAAGGCGCAGCTGAGAGCACGAGAGAGAGAAAAGCTAATGAAGCCTGTTTATACACCCTTTGTTAACTCTGTGCAGGTGGAGAAAAAAAATGCTCCCTCATGTTAAGCTGGTGTGCTGATGTCATCACTTCGTTCATCACTCAACCCAACACAACGCAGAAGTAAACCCGTTACACAATAACAGAAGCTGATAAACAACACATATAAACATTTTCATGCTTCTGTCTGATATTCAGCAGCTCTAAACTGAACCATGAAGAATTCCTTCTGTTTCCATGCTGCTATACTGAATGTCACATGATCACTGCAGCCAATAGAGTCATTTCCATAGAGAGAGCTGACTTTGCATTATCAGCACATGCTTCAGTGCTCTGGGAGAGTTTATAGTCCTGTGAGTTTAACACTTCATGACTGAGAGCTGCTGCCCCACAAACTTCACCCACAGCAGACATGACTTTGACCATCATCTTCATCTGGACTCTGATCTTCTGGACTCAAGGTAGATCCTTGTACCTTTATGAAGATGATTTATGAAAATATTAAAGTGTGTGCATATGAGGAGCTTATTTTAAAAATAATAATATCATATGTATTTATGAGTCACCTTGATTTCTCATTATATTATTTCAGAATCCAGAGGTCAGGCGACTGTGACTCAGACTCCTGCAGTGAAATCTGCTCTTCCAGGAGAAACAGTCACCATCAGCTGTAGAACCAGCGCTGCAGTGTACAGTGACAGTCATGGTCAGCGTCTAGCCTGGTACCTGCAGAAACCTGGAGAAGCTCCTAAACTCCTGATTAAACTGATTAACAGTAGAGAGTCAGGAACTCCAGCTCGTTTCAGTGGCAGTGGATCTGGATCTGACTTCACTCTGACCATCAGTGGAGTCCAGACTGAAGATGATGGAGATTATTACTGTCAGAGTTTACATCAAATCAGCAGTGTCTGGTGGTTCACACAGTGATACAGAGCCGTACAAAAACCTCCCTGAGTCAGAGACACAGAGGCTGCACTGCTGCAGCTGAGACCTACTGCAGGTGCTGAGGGGAGGATGTGATACAGCACAATCACACACTCTGTGGAGGAGAGGAAACACACCACACTAACACACAACTCAACACATACATCTATAAATAAGCACAAAGCAGTAATGCACACAGCATTTCAGCTCCACTTCTATGAGAGGAGTAGTTTAGTGGAGCTGGAGCTCATTCTAGTCCTACTGTTCATGTGTCAGTGGTGGAACCTGAGTGTGGTTTAATCTAGAGCTGAACACATGATGTGTGTGTGGGATGTGGGGAATCACTCAGTACTGCAGCAGAGGAAAGTGGCTCCTATTGAGGTGTATTTAGAAGAGTGCTTTTATAGCAAAAGGCAAAAACACTCTTAACGTTTAGTATAAGTTGATATTGTAGTGTCTGCAGTACCATGTGTCCTGTTTTTGCAGGTTTTGGAATGTTTAAGTTAAGGGGGCCCCTGGGAGTGGGCATCTCCAAATTCCAAATAGATGAAATCCTTTTAATAAGGACCAGATGTTCTGTCTCCTTTTTCGAAAACAAGCAGCCTATTTAAGCCATTGGCTATAGTATTCTGGAGGGGACACTTTATAAATGGCACGGATCCCCTCTCAGGTACTTTATAGTGCTTGATTTGATACTGTTTTACTTTGCAATAAACATCTTATAAAAGGAAGGCGGTGTCAGCGGAGTTTCCTTCATCATCTTCACATCATTGCTACTTAATAAACAACATTTTGGCATCACTAACTTCGGACATGTTGTGACTTGCTGCATCGCCGACAGCTTTAGGGCACTTACTCCCGCACCTGCCGGCATTTCAGGTGAGATTTTTGCATAATTGTGCGCTGGTTTGTTCATTAGGGCTGTTGGTTGTTTGCTGTCTAGTCGCACCGTAAAGAATCATGTGTGTGTGCAGGCCATGCTGTGTTGATGTTTGGAGTGCTTCTCCGTTCTAAATTGGGGTTTATTGTGTTGTGCACGCCGCATTAAAAAGGGGGAGTGTAATAGAGAAAAGGAAAGCTGATGTAAAAGTGTAGAATAGCCTAATTAGTAACGATAAGTTGAGCTAAATAACACCATGCAAGATTAAGTAAGGTTGGGCCCTTATCTTCTTAACGGTACGACGTGTATATTAGTCACTGCATGAAAGTTGGCTTAGAGAAATAGTCAATTGGGTTAAAAGAGGAAAAAAGCGAAAAGTTACAGCCCAGGGCCCTCAGGAAATTAGATTAAAGGGAAAAAAAGAGGAAAGAAAATAGAGAAAAAAAAAGTGAAGTAAGAAACAAAAGAGGAGTAAGTTGCTGAAGGTAGAGAAGAGAGGAGATGTTGAAGGTTCAAGAGAGCCAGAAGAAAATGTGTGGAGAGAGGGTTATATAACTCGTAAGGTAGTAGTTGTGATAGAAGATTTGAGTTCTACTGGGAGTGTTCATGGTTGCTACAAGTGTTCAGGAATGATTCACTACAGCAACCACTCCAAGGGTGAATATTACATCGATGAAGCTTCCTGCTTTAGCTCTGGAAACAACTAAGAATGTTAATGCGTCAATTCAGGCTATTACTTTAGCTACGACTTTGAAGGGATTGAAGGCTACTACAAGGATGGTGACAATTTTTACACCTGATATGACATCTTTGAACTTTAAAGAAGGAGTAAATATAACCCAGAAACCTATGTTAAAGATAGAGCTTAGTGAGAATAGTAGTAATGAGGTTTTTGAACCTAGAGAACAGATGGAAGAGCATGATGCAGATTCATCTGTGACAGCTCAGAGGACTATTTTAGATGTGGAAGAGGAGTTTTTTGACTTTGGCTGGACACCAGAAGATGTGACTGACCATTATCGTGTATTACAGAAGAGAGAAACTAAGTGAAAGGCATGTGGATTTGATTCCTATGGTGTTACAAATCACAGACCCAGGGGCAGGTAGGAACTTATGGTTCCAGCAGTTAACTCATTCTGTAAGATCAGAATTGTCCATGTGTGGTGAAAGTTCCAACACCAGGCACATGGCCTGCAAGTTTAGAGACGGTACCAGAACCATTAAGTCTTAAATGTCAATCTTATGCATGATCGTGGCTGTTTTATCAGCAGCAATCAGCAGAGGATAAGGTGATGGCTCTGTCAGTGCATCTGTTTAGACCTAGACATAATTGTTCTTGGTTGGGAGAGTTACCACATGTGAATTTACTTGATCAGCATGAAAATATGATAATAGCAATCCCAGATCCATTGGAAGTGAAATCTGTGGGGTTTGTGATAATAAGGCATATATATTTCTACCGTATGGGTGGACAGGATGCTGTTATATGGCAACGTTGAAGCTGCCATATGAGGTTTTTACTGTCCAGAAGGGAAAAGTTTCTGATGAGGTTCAATCTGATGCTATTTCTGGGAGTAGGAAGAAAAGGAAACTGGCACAATTTCAGAATCTGGAGTCCTATCATTGGAGGATAAGTCTAGGAGAGAAGTGGGGTATAGGATTGTTTCCATGGTATGGTGTGACATTTTCGGCAGTTCACACTGATAATATTACCTACACCCTACAGGGTTTTTGCAAATGAGACTGTAAGAGGTTTTGAATACTTGTCAAATACTCAAAAGAGTCACAGACTGACGTTGCCTAAACATGACATGGCTCTTGATTATCTGTTGGCCAAACAAGGGGGCCTATGTGTGGCTTTGAACTTAACTGGTGATGCTTGTTATACTTTGATTCCTGATAGTTCTGACAATATGACTAGTGTCATAGATGCACTGAAGCATATAAGGGATGCGTTTGGCCCATCAGAAGGAGCTGGATGGTCTGCGAATGCTTGGTTGCAGGAGAAATTAGGACCGTTGGGAGCAGTGCTGGTTCAGATTATGGTAGCACTTCTTATATCATTGAGTGTCATGTTTTGTTTCTGTACGTTGTTGTTCACCTTTGCGATATTGAGATGGGTTGGTGTTGTGATGCTTGGAGATCAAGTTCAGATGCCGTTACTACATAGGACTGACACAGACGATGATGAAGTGGTGATAGAAGGTGAACTGATGGAGAAATATCCATTTTGAATATCTACTCTTATTATAGTCTTAAAATTTATTTCTGTTACTATTTGGGTATTTAGTAGTCTCTTACTATAGAGTGGGACGATAGCAGGGGGAAATGGAAAATGTGGTTTATAACTTGGAATAATGTGAAAGTATGATACTGTGAATTTCACATTTAGGGAGTTAATCCATATTTGATGTTTCAATTTCCATTTGTTGTTTTTGCAAAAGATACTGGTTGGTGGTTTTCTTTTCTTTCTTTCAAGAACGATGTTGGGGGAAAACCACTGTAAGGGTGGTTGGATCTTCGGGGACCCCGATGTGCATGGACAATAGGACTGAAGGACTTTGAATAAGGAGTGATACAATGCCCAGAGTCAACACATCATCGACACTACACTGAGAGTCAACGTTGCTGAGGAGCTGCAGTGTGATACATTTTTAAGACTTCATATATATATTTGCATAGTATTGGATTTTGTTCTATTATATTGTAATGTGTGATATTGATAGAGGACATTTATAAGGTAGTGATAATCTTAGTAAGACATAATAGTTGGATTGAGTGTTTGAGTTGTTTACTGCATGAGTAGTACTTAAATTTATAACACTTTCTTTGTTTTAACTGCTTGAAGACTGATGGTTTCTGTTATGGGGTAAGTACATTGGGACCTCAGATCTTGTTTTCTTTTTTCGGTGCTTAGGGACATTGGTGTTAGGCAGGGGAAGGTTCATTGGAAGGTCCGATGGGTCGACCAGCCTGAATGTGGACATTGTTTTGGTTTTATTTTCTGAGGTTTCCATATGTATTTGCTTAGGTCATATCCCTACACGATTTATTAAAATTCCTCCTTTTTAAAATAGTCTGGAGTACTTTATGTGGTCGCCTAAGGCAGAGGGGCCATGAGAGAATTTTTCCTGTCTAGATTGTTTGACGGATATTGCAGGAATGATAGCTGCCTGACAGGTTTTTTCACTCTCACACTCCAGAAAGTTGTTGAATTGCTAAGCTAATGCTGTAGGAATCATGTGTAGGTGGAACTGTTATTTTGTTACAACTGCAAACATGTATGTGTTACTTTTTGGTTTTTCGAGACTTTGCGGAAGCCTCAAAGGGGGGAATATGAGGTGTATTTAGAAGAGTGCTTTTATAGAAAAAGGCAAAAACACTCTTAAGGTTTAGTATAAGTTGATATTGTAGTGTCCTGTTTTTGCAGGTTTTGGAATGTTTAAGTTAAGGGGGTCCCTGGTTTAAAGGTCCCCATAGGGAGTGGGCCTCTCCAAATTCCAAATAGATGAGATTTTAATAAGGACCAGGTGTTCTGTCTCCTTTTTTGAAAACAAGCAGCCATTGGCTATAGTGTTCTGGAGGGGACACTTTAGAAATGGCATGGATACTTTATAGTGCTTGATTTGATACTGTTTTACTTTGTAATAAACATCTTATACAAGGAAGAGGGTGTCAGTGGTGTCTCCTTCATCATCTTCACATCATCGCTACTTAATAAACAACATTATATTACACATTTACTTAGTAGTGCTATCTTTTTTGATACTCAGTTTGTGTGCAAAATACAAAACTTTTAGGAGGTGGTAAGTTTATTTTGGTACAAAAATGGCTGAATTCCTACAAATTTTAAAATTCTGTGAGGATTTACATCATAAATGATGACATATCTGACTAGTCTAAGGTCTCCATAAAAAAACAGCATACAGTATGTGACTGTCTCATATAAATACTTCGTAAGTGGCCAATAAAGAGGAAAGAATGATGTAAAATAAGCCTAGATTTCAAAAGATGAAAGTAGATTGAATAATTCAGCCGTTTATTTAGTCGATTTCTTAGTTAATTTAATCCATTCTTTAATACCTTTATGTCTTTAACTGAAAACTAATTTTGACAACAGCTAATTCTTTTCATTGTTCAAATCCTGATCAGAGAGCGAAATGAGAAGGTCCTTCACCAAGTTGTGCAAAATCAGTAAAAGAGAGAGATAAAGTGAGAGAGAGATGAAGTGAGAGAGAGAGAAAGATAGAGAGCAGAGAGTTTTGCATTAACTGAATTAGTTGAATCTTTCCGTTTCTGAGCTGAACTGCTCTAAAAGAACAGACACTGTTCATAAAGTGTGTCAGGTCTGTCAGGCTGCTGAACACTGTCTCTGTCCTGGAGCTGCTGCTTTACTGTTTCCCATCAGAGACGCATTAGGACTTGTGTATTTATACCTGGCAGCTTCTACAAGAGTTTACAAGCTCTCTCGCTCTCATGATGAGTTTCTTAGCCATAGATTTGATCTTTCCTGCTGTTGTTTCTGTTTCATCCTGTTTCTCTGAGTGACTGATGACAACATGATCATCACAGCCTCACTTCAGATGTCATTACATCATGATTAAGGCTCGATACACAGCCTGTCATTATTCAGCAAGACAGTAACTCAACATCTGTACCATCTGTAAAGAACTATCTGGTGAAGAAGTGGAGTGAACTGCACCTTAAAGAAACAGCCTTAATCTCACTGAGATCTCAGACTCATATGACCTGTTCAAGCCAAACTGCCCCATCAGCTGTTCTTAGAAAGGAGTGTGACGTCACTGTAAAATATGAAAATGCTGGTTTCTTTCTTATGAATAAAACAATCTTCATATTTAAAATAACAGTCATTCTGTCCAATCAGATGTAGGAAAGTGACATAATCACACTGCCTAAATGAACAGAAATGTAAATGAGTGTGAAAGTGAAGTTCTCTAATGTGCTGCACACACACACACACACACACACACACACACACACACACACTCACACACACATTCATATCTTCCTCAGTCTTGATGGGTTTTGTGTTTGTGAAACTCAGATTTGCACGAGCAGGATGGTCTTCCCTTCCCAGAAAGAAGCAGCTCTGTGTCCAGATGTTCATCATCTCCAGAGTTTAGAGTTCAGAGCAGCATCACTTTAGTTTCAGCACCAGCATGAAGATCCAACCTGCCCTCAGTCTAGCATTGACTGACTACAGATACAGAGGAGACTGTGGCCTGAATATTGTGATTATATACATTAACAACAGTATAACAGCATTAAAGTATAAATATAATTTATTTACGTAATAATTAAGCTGAATAAACCTGTGTTGAAAAGATTAATTTACAGATACTTTACTCCCTCATTGATCTCCTTCATGATCATTAATGTACCTCTGTACATCATTAGATGTGCCTGGAAATGTTCTCCTACATTAACAGCAAGAACTTTCTCTGAACTTCACAGACTTAAAGACTCTCTAAAGTATTTCTTAGTCTAACAAAGAAGAAAAAAATTACCATCAGACAGTAAAACATACAGTGTTGTTGATTGAAACTCTTTATTTTCTTTAGTCAAATAATCAGATCATCATTTCAGCATTAATCACAGACGTGTTTGAGCTCATTTGAGAGTGAGAGGAGCTCTATCAGCTGAAACCCCCGCGTGGTTCTCACTGCTCAGCACTGATCTCTCTTCAGTGTCTGGCTGACAGTAGGCTGGGAGTCCTTGGTGGCCTCACAGGTCACTGTGTTCTTTAGCCACTGCTCCTCCTGGAGGGTCAGGGTGCTGCTCCAACTGTAAAGGCCATCATCCTTCTGCAGAAGCCCGGGGCTCTGGCTAACCCCCGAGCTCCAGCTGCTCCCACCCACCTTCCAACTCAGCCTCCAGTCTGAGGGGAAGCCCTTGTTGGCCAAACACACCAGTGTGGCCTTCCCCTGCTGCAGCCCCTCGCTAGAGGGGGGCAGGACTGTGAGGGTGGGCGGGGATGAACCTAGGAGACACAAACACAGGAAGGGACATGTGTCAATCAACCAGCACAGACACACCAGAGTGGGTTTCACTTCTCTTATTTTGTACAGAGCTGAACTGAGTTCAGTGGAGCATTAAAATGTTTCACTCTCTAATTATAACCTGCTTTACTGTTTAAACTGCCTCTCAGAGCTGTGGCCATTAAAACTGTCCTGGTTTTAGAAACATTTGAATATTTTCTATACTAGACATTAAAATTCTGACAATACATATTGTAATTTAAAATATTGCCATTAACGTTAATGTTGTCTCTGTAAAGCAATAACTGAAAATTTAATTCAGAATAGCAATAATAATTAGCTTAAAAATAAAAAAAGACTACATCTGTTCTTAAAATATTTGTAAGTATTTATTATAACCTACACTGTGATAATCCAGTGTGAGAATAAGAATTACAGTGAAAGAGCTGCACTGAGAGTCTACTGTAAATAACAGATCTTTATACTGTTAAAATAAACTCAGTAATTAAAGGCAAGTTGAGAGAAATTCACTGAAACATTTATACTTTTACTATTTACACTTCAGAAACAGTCGATTAAACTCTCCAAACACAGTAAACACTGATACTGTTAAATAAATAAAAAAACTAATAAATACTAAACATGATGTACAAAATCATCAAGTACATTTATTTTCCAGAATTTATTACCAGATTAATTATGAATAAGAAATAAAAAGCTACTTACGGCCAACTGACAGTTTGGTTCCTCCACCAAAAGTGTTCCACAGTGATACAAACTCATTTAGCGTCTGTACAAAAACCTCCTGCTCTAAAGACTCTGCTCTCTCGGTGCTTCACTAACAGCTTTTTCATATCAGTCATTAAATACTGATGAGTTTTATAATCAGCAGATAAACGTATAAATTCTGAAACCCTGAACATTTGTTTCTTTACTTTTTTAAACTTTTTGTTTGAACTGAGGCCACACATTATTATATGTGTTCTCAAATTGCTTATTCATTTATAAAACTATAATAGTATTTTAAAATATTTACATTTTTTGATTATTTAACTTGATTTTAATTTAATCTTTGGATTTAAATAATAATAAATTATTACAAGTACAGAAAACAGTTGAAGAGCTGCTGTGTATAAAATATTTTTTTGGTTCTGTTGAGTAACAACATTAACATGAATAAATTAACATAAGCTGATTTCCTGCTAAAAGAGAGAAAAGTATTGTAATAAAATGTGTATTTTTTTACTCCCTGCATGAAGTTTAGTTCCTCCACCAAAAACTCCTGCACTGAGAGACAGACTGACAGCAGTAGCTGCAAAATCCCTCAAGAGAAAGACTGATACACTTTAAACTGAACAATATGAGATCGCCCCCCACTGGACATTAAGAGAATATTACACTGATCTGGAAAGGAAGATTGCTGAGCTGTGAGAAGATCAACTGTGGAGATCAGGAGAGTAAAGATTCACATATGAATCACAGCAAAAACCTCAAACTGACAGTAAATCTCTACAATATACACAATAAAACAGTCTTAAACAGTTTACAGTGTGTTCAGTTCAACACATTTCAGCAACAACAGAAGCTGATAAAAAACACATATAAACATTTTCATGCTTCTGTCTGATATTCAGCAGCTCTAAACTGAACCGTGAAGAACTGCTTCTGTTTCCATGCTGTTATACTCAAAGTCACATGATCACTGCAGCCAATAGAGTCATTTCCATAGAGAGAGCTGACTTTGCATTATCAGCACATGCTTCAGTGCTCTGGGAGAGTTTATAGTCCTGTGAGTTTAACACTTCATGACTGAGAGCTGCTGCCCCACAAACTTCACCCACAGCAGACATGACTTTGACCACCATCTTCATCTGGACTCTGATCTTCTGGACTCAAGGTAACACACTGTTATGCATTAATACTGTTATACAGGGTATGAGGGGCTTATACTAAAAATATCATATGTATTTGAATTGTTACCATTTATTTTCAGGATCCAGAGGTCAGGCGACTGTGACTCAGACTCCTGCAGTGAAATCTGCTCTTCCAGGAGAAACATTCACCATCAGCTGTAGAACCAGCACTGCAGTTTATAGTAGTAATCGTCTAGCCTGGTACCTGCAGAAAACTGGAGAAGCTCCTAAACTCCTGATCTACTATGCTACTAGCTTATTGTCAGGAACTCCAGCTCGTTTCAGTGGCAGTGGATCTGGATCTGACTTCGCTCTGACCATTAGTGGAGTCCAGACTCAAGATGATGGAGATTATTACTGTCAGAGTTTACATTCTATCAGTGGTGGCTGGGTGTTGACACAGTGATACAGAGCCGTACAAAAAGCTATGAGAGTCAGAGACACAGCGACTGCACTGCTGCAGCTGAGACCTACTGCAGGTGCTGAGGGGGAGGATGTGATACAGCACAATCACACACTCTGTGGAGGAGAGGAAACACACCACACTAACACACAACTCAACACACACATCTATAAATAAGCACAAAGCAATAATGCACACAGCATTTTATTTCCACTTCTATGAGAGGAGTAGTTTAGTAGAGCTGGAGCTCAGTCTAGTCCTCCTGTTCATGTGGTAGTGGTGGAGGTTCCATCCTAAAATGATCTGCCACATAGAAGCTGTTTGTTTTTTTTTTCTGCTCCAGCAATTTAAGAAGTTTGAAAAGTTGAACAAGAAGTTGTCAAATAGGCTGAGGGGGCAGAATGTAACTGCTGCACCATGTAGGGTAGAACAGGAAACTCAAACAAGAAGCTGACTTCAGCTTCGTTCAAGGCAGTGAGTATTTTCACAGCAGTGGGCTTTCATTTTTGGGATAACAGGCTTAGCTTTGGCTACCGTACATAGCCAGCCATGCATCCAGCTAACTAACATTGACAGAGTTACAAAAACCCACATGAGCTGGTTTAAAATTTGTGAACAATGAAAACATTGCAAATGCATACATTACCTGATCAACCTATAGTGTATGATGCGTGATGCACTTATTCGTGTAGGTTTAGTGTCCTCAACCTGGAGCTTTGTGTCTGGGGAGGAGGGGGCAGGGCAGACAACTCTCTCCAATACTTTGAATATGGACTGCAGCACCTATTTTACATGCTTACTGTCAGTTTTAGACACTGATCCTTAAACTCCAGCAGAGTATGACGCTCTGAGGTGTGCAAGACACACAAATGAGACAAATTACTTTAGAAACTCAGATGTGGAATCATAATAATCATAATCTCATAATCTCAGAAGAATAAAAGAACAGATCAGCTGCCGTACTGCAGAAGCACTCAGTCTTTAGTCCTAAGTTCAGATCTGAGCAGGTCAAGATCAGATTTCACTAATTTGTATTACAGAAGCAAATCTTACCTTAATATAGGAATTTTATCCCATTTTGCAGAATCTTATTGTAAGGACCCAGACTGCACCGCCAGCCGCCAGCAGAGGGCGACGGTGGCGAGGTGCTACAAGTTCAAGGAACTCCAATTCCCAGAAGCCCTCGGGCTGATTAGGCCCAACCCGGCACACCTGTGGACTCCTGTACTTAAGGCTGTGGCAAACAGCAGCCCTTTGTCACACCTTTGTAGAGGGGTGAGCAGTACGGTACGCAGCCCAGGTGGGTATTTAAACAAAAAGAAAAGAAAAGAGGGCTGGAAAAACAAAAGAGAGAAGTTGCCCCAAAACTACTTAAAAACCAAAAAGAGCTCTTGAACAAGAAACGGCTCCAGTTAGAAAATACTAAACTACTCAGTTGAGGTTGATAATTGATTGTCTGTTACCTAGCAACCAAAAATACATGCACAGCTAAAACATAAACACACAATCAAAATGATGTTTACATTTGTTAAAGTTAGTTAAACAGCTCTCAGTGTAAAAAACATCAGAACTAAACTGTGATGAACTACAAGTTTACAGAAAGGTGAATAATATTGATTCCCAAAGATTCAACCAGCAAACAAGCTGGAAGAACATCATTCAAATGTAATAAAAGAAATTAAATACATAAAGAAAGGAGTGAAATAAGAGTAAGATAAAGAAAAAATAGGTGAAAAAACTAATGAAGAAAATGAAGAAATGAAGAAAAAGAAACTAAATAAGAATGCAAGGAAAAAGAATGAAAGAAGGGAAGGAAGAAAATAAAGATATAAAGAAAAAAGAACAGACAAAGAGGGAGAAAAAACAGACAAAGAAGAAAAAGGAATAAAGTAAAGAGAGAAGAAAAAGAACAGAAGGGAGAAGGAATGAATAAAGAAAAGAGTGACAGAAGAGAAAGGAAGGAAGGAAAGAAAAAACGGAAGGATGGAGGAAAGAGAAAGAAAAGAAGGAAGAAAAGGAGAATTAACAGACATAAAGAACACAAAGAAGGAAGAAAGGTAAAGAGAGAAAGTGATGAAGAAACAGTGATGCTGCTCTAACGTTACTCCTCCTAATAAACAGCTCCTCGTTCAGCTCCGTCTCCTCATCTTCTCCTCCATCACTGCAGGGTTTTATCAGTGGAGTCTTCATGAACAGTAACACTGAGAGGGAGGACGCGTCTGCTGTGTCCACCATTTCTGAACCACAGTGAGGAAAAAACATCTCTCTCACACATTAAACCACCGTTTTACAGTATAAACTAGATATGCTGAGTAGAACAAGCTCCGCCCTCACCTTACAGACAGTTACTAACCTCAGAAATACAGGCGCTCGTATCACTTCAGCTCAACACAGAAAGGTGTGTCACTTTATCTTCGTCATAGTCACCAAGACTGAAATTCGAGGACGAGTCCAGAACAATGAGGGACTCCAAACTAAATACAGGATATAAATGATTTGTGGAAAAAATCCTTCACAGCTGTCAGAATAATAACATCAGTGAACGTCTACAGAGAGATAAAACGATGGATTAGTGAAAAGGGCAGCGGTTTCCTAGAACTGGAGACGAGAACCACTGATCCACACTGAGATCTGCTTCATCACCATGAATTAAAGCTTTAAACACATTAATTTTCAAATCTATTTATTTCTCCAGAATCCAGAGGTCAGGCGACTGTGACTCAGACTCCTGCGGAGAAACAGTCACTCTGAACTGTAGAACCAGCCCTGCAGTGAATGTGAAGACTAATGGAAATGAACATCTGTCCTGGTTTCAGCAGAAACCTGGAGAAGCTCCTAAACTCCTGATTACGGATGTAGAAACGTTACAGTCAAGCATTCCAGCTGGTTTCAGAGGCAGTGGATCTGAATCTGACTTCACTCTGACCATCAGTGGAGTCCAGACTGCAGTTCATGAGATCACTACTGTCAGAGTAGTCATGGTAACGGTGCGTCCACAGTGATACAAAAACGTACAAAAAGCTGTGAGAGTCAGAGACACAGAGACTTCACTGCTGCAGCTGAGACCTACTGCAGGTGCTGAGGGGGAGGATGTGATGCAGCACAATCACACACTCTGACTCACACTAACACACTATTCACTCAACACAACACACTGATCTGCTCAGACCGTCTCATCGTCTCAGTGTTGCAGATGATATTTCATACACACTCTGTCTCTAATAGAAGATCCTGTAGTCTTTTCTAATAATTAGAGCTCCTCACCACCTTTAAACCACAGCTCTGAGCTAAACCGCTGTACAAACACTCAGATCTTCTACCTCAGCTTCATCTCTTCAAACAACACCTGACAGTGCATCACCTACTACTGAGCACTGCTTTCATAAGAGGCTCTTCACTCTGAAAGTGCTGATGGGAAGATCTGCTCATTTTAAAGAGCTGTATTGTAGGAACACAGGAGAACAGTGAGAGTCATGTAGTGTGAAATGTGCTGTGATTGTAGGAACTGGTGAAGTGTAAAGATGAAAGGAGGAATTAGAGACACATTGTGGTTAATAGCTGTTAGAAGACTATCAGTGAGAGCAGCGGAGAGATGGAGCTGTTCTGTTTAAACCACCGTGAGCTCCATGTCAAACTGACAAAACACAGAAACAGAAACGTTTCCTTTTAGACTGTTATTGTTGAAGGGAGGTGTGGAATGAAATGAAAGAAATGTAAAGTTTAACACAGAATTAAACATTAAATCAGTGTTTTATAGGAATTTTGAAGATTAAAAGATGTGAATTTCTGTAGTTTGTAAAATCTAAACTGTGAAAATGAAGTAAAATATCAATAAAACAGCAATTTATTATAAGTGAGCTTTCAAAGGTTTTAAAACTGCACTGAAAGTCTGAGAAGAATCAACACTTTATTTAAAGATACAGACTTCTGGGTCTATTTAAACTCACAGTTGAGCTTCATTAACTCTGTGTCTTTGTGCTGTTTTCTATATTGTTTGTAATCCATTGAAATCTCAATGAAACCTTAAAGAAAAAGAAACTACAATCTCTCTCATCTAGTTTTCAATCTACTGATTAATTATTTATTTTATTAAAGTGAAGAAAATGATTCATTTCTCTGTAGGTGATGTGAGAGGATGTGTGCTCCTGGTGTTTCTCCTGACCACAGCAGCTGGAGATCCATCATGGAGTCTGTCAGGCAGACTGTCCAGCAGGGGGAGCCACAGCCCAACTCATCCCACTTCTGCCCCTCACAGCAGCCTCCTGGAGCTTCACTCTCACACACTGATCACTAAAACTCCCACTACTGACACACTGACTGTCAACTCAGGATACTAAACTCACATCCTGGAGGGCAGCAGCACTAAAGGAGAAAGTGAAAGGTGTCTAGACACAAACAGTGCAGTGTATGATCAAATATCAAAGCTGCACAACAGACTGTCTAACATTTAGTGCACTGTAGAATCACTGATTTCAGGATCTGTGCAGTGCAGTATGTAGGGAGTGAGGAGCCATAGATTCAGCCACAGACCTGCTCTCATGTTAAACCACAGTGATAGTAGATGATCAGGTGTTTGTCTGTACTGCTCTCGTCTCACTGTAGCTCTGACCTGAACGTTTTCACTCACGGAGAGAGACTTAATGATAAGTAGTATTAAAGTAGGAAAGTGAATGAGGCTGTTTATGTAGTGGTTTCAGCTCTAAACAAGCTAATCTGCTAATAGGACGATGTGAAAAGATGCAGGGTTCAGATCTAGTAGTGACAGCGGCCGTTCTTCTCTTCTCTTCTTCTACATTGGTCCTTCACCTCTGAGCTATCTGCATACCAGCGCCCCCTGTGGAGAGTATCCAGACAGCAGGCAGAGCAGTGAGGCTGAACCCTCAGACAGCTGCAGAGAGGAGGGAGGAGCAGAGACACAGAGGGCTTCACTGTGGAACCAGCTGGAGACAAGAAACAGCAGCACACATGATTAAACACAAACAATTAAACATATTTACTAGTTATTCTTTATTAAACGTCCCAGCTGGAGCTATTAATCTGAGTGGATTAGAATAATCAGTGGGAAGGTGTTTTGTTGTTGGTGGTGCTGACATTTTGAGCAGCATATATACGTGATGTGAACAGTGATGTCAGGCTAAATGATTTGCCTGTTTTCCATTTGAATTGTTTTTGATGACGGAACATGTCAAACTGCACTATAATACATAAATATGACTGACAAAATAGCGCTGATGTACATCCTGTCTCTGCTCTCGTTCTGGATGAACTTTATGAAAAAAGTTCTGCGCGTTAAGCAAGAGATATAATGGTTGATTAAACATTATTACTGTATTAGATGATTTTTAAAAGTTTACAAACAATATTCGGCCGCTGTGGGACTCAGAACTGGCTTGTATCTCTGCCCATACTATCTCACTTTGGACCTCAACCTGCACATGTTTTAGTGACATGTCCCCCCAAGGTGGCCAAGAAGTGGAAGGAAGCGATTCAGTTCACTGTAATGAAAATACTGTGTTAACTTAAACAGTGCAGCAACTGCAGGTTCATCAAAAAATATAAATAAAAATAGAAAAATACAAACTTCACTCTAAAACAAGCAAACCTAAGTCTTTACACTGAAATTATTAAGAGGTTCAGATTTCTGTATTTATTATTATTATTATTATTATTATTATTATTTATATATATATATATATATATATATATATATATATATATATATATATATATATATATATATATATGTATATTTTATTACTGTTTTTAGCAGATGCAGTCCTGAAATCAGGTGTGTGAAATCCCACATCCCAACTTCAAAGATATCTGGGTATGCTAATCATACTCATAATAACGGCTCCTAATTTTATATTAGCAGATTTTAAGTCAACAAAGTTTGGTGATTTCATACAATAATTTAACCAGACAAACACCTTTTAACACCTTCTGTAGGTCCTGTTTTCATTCTTACTCTTAATCAGTCACTCAGTTTAAGAGTCTCAGTCAAATTAGTCTTCATGATTCATTATATTGATCAGTTTATTAATAATGATGGTGTTTGAGTCTGTAATGTAAATATCAGGTTGTATTTCTTCTTATCACTTTTATCCAGTTAAGTTGTGGCCAGTTCCTCTGTGTTTTTCCCATTTGCTGTTTTAAACCAGTTTACTGTGAGTTGTATGTGTTGAATGAGGGTTGTGACTCGGTTCGGGCTGTTGGGCTGCAGACCCAAATGGTGTTTTAACAGCCCTGGATCTTTTTCTAAGATTAAAAGAGGAATCAAATGGAAAACATCTATAACCTGTAATAAAAGAGTCGACTCCGAGCAGCTCGTCTCTCAGAATCATTGGCGAGGACGTATTCAAGTCAAAGCAACAACTCTTTCCGATTCAACTCTCTGTGATTCACTAGAGGAGGAGTCGTTGGAGCCAAAGAGTCAAGCAGCAGTGAGAGCGCGTTGCTGTGATGAAAGTCTGAAAAGAAATGAGAAAAATGAGCTTTAGTTGTTTTACTTTAGTGGAGTTTTACAGATTAACACCATCTTAGACAGGTTAGCGGTGCAGACTAACATTAACTGAACTGTAATCCGTTTAAACTGCACTGTAATCTCAGGTAATGTTATCTTGTTAGACAGGTAGCAGCTCTAACGGCAGACAGGCTAGTTCGGGTTCAGTGTTAGTCCAGCTAATGTTAACGTTTGTTTACAACAGAAAAACAGACCGAACGACATTAACGGTCATTATTTTTACCATAACGTCGCTACACACTAATGATAATGCACCGCTGTAACAGCAGCTCAGCAGCTGTGGGACATAAGATGGTGCAGATATTAGCCAGTTAACTTATTTTGTCAGTTGGCTTTTTATTAGAATTTTCTGTTCCACCTTAAATGGTGCTGCAGAACACAGGCGCCTGAATGGATGCAGGGTCACTGTACTGAGCCAATACCAGTTATCTTAATGACTAACTGAAGTATTTGTGTTGTGTACAGCAGTGTGTGAGCGTGAGAGAAAGTCAGAGGTCAGAGGTCATACATGAAAGAGACATAAGGGACAGTTTCATTGAATAACACGCTTCATATACGAGCTGCTAACATTCAACAACAAGCAAGAGAGCTTTTCTAGGTAAAGATATTCTCTAATGAGTTTGTGGTGGTTTAACTGAGCTGTGGGGGCGTCTCTTTAATGGTTTATTCCAAAAAGATACTGTGGAGAAGAGAAGATGCTGTGAAACGTGCTTGAAATATGGAAAACTGGATCATATAAAGGACTTTTGCACTGAGTGTTTGAAAAACACAGCAGTAGCTTCTCAGGCTGAAAACTGTTATTCAACTTTTCTCTAAGAACAGATTGTTCCCTACTATTCAGATAGCTGAAGAAAGTGCTGTGTTTGGTCAAAGAACACATCAATCAGCCCTTTTCAGCCTGTAAAACAATACCAGCACTTCCTGCTGTGGTGGAAAACAAATCCAGTCCAAACTGGTTTAAAGTGAAAGTGAATCTTCAGCAGCATCTTTTCTGTGAAGAGAGCATGAAAAACAACGTTTGGAGAGGAAGAACAGAGGTAGTTACTGAAGTTTTAACAGCTAGAATTTACTTTCTGACTTGATGTATGTTTAATGCTTTCTGTGTGTGTGTGTGTGTGTGTGTGTGTGTGTGTGTGTGTGTGTGTGTGTGCATGTGTTAGGTGTGATCTGAAGAAGGAGAGAAGACCTGAGTGTCTCAGTGGAACAGGACACACAGGAAGCTGAGAGGTGGGAGAATAATGTGATTTGCAGGGGTGTAAAAAATACTGAAAATCCCTACTTAAGTACAAGTACTGTTGTTCAAGTAAAAGTATTAGTAAATAAAATTACTCAAGTAAGAGTAAATGAGTAGGTCATGAAAAAACTACTTAAGTACTGAGTTACTTAGTTACTGTTTCATATTTCTTCTGTCACAACCTGAACATATTTCTGAGCTGACTCAGCGGCATCATTGGACATAATCTGCACAGAAAAACACTAAAGCAAAACATGACATTATGTGGGGAAAAGAGTTCTGAGAGCTGATACTGATCACAGTTTGCTCTGCTAGTGCACATTTACACATCTTCCAGTGAACTGCGTAAGGAACAAGGTTTACATTAAACTGCATGTGTTAGATGATTATATTAGATGTCCTAGTTTATCTGTTTCTAATAAAGTATTTTAGAATCCTGACAGACTGTGCAGAGGCTGTTACTATTTATTTAAGTTCATTTAAGAGAAAAAAAAATTGTAACAAATAAACAGAAAAAGTGAATATTATAGCACATTGCTTAATTAATAATGTAATTTTAGTGAGAGTCCAGCTGCCCATCAGCTCCCTGGATTCCAGCTTACGTTAATAGATGTGAACCTCTACAGACAGTAAGCATATCTGCTTAGAAACCAATACGAACGAGACAGAGACAGGGGGTGAGAAAGGGACAGAGAGAGGAAGAGATATACAGAGGGAGAGACGGGGAGAGGAAGAGAGAGAGATAGAGGGTGGGGAGGGATAAGATCAGGCCAGTCAGCTTAAAGAACGTGACAGAATCACTGCTAAGACTTTATGAAAATCCTGTACTAGACTAGATTTCTTGTCTCACAGCCGTAAATGACTGTATCTCCAAACAGCAGCTAAACTAGGCTGTATTTTCAACAGGTAAACTGTGGCCTGTGGGCGACACCAGTTAACTAAAGAGCTGACAGACACTTTTTAATAAACAGAAACATCATAAAAGAACGCTCCCTCAGGCTGGAGTCGAGCTGTGAGAGCGGATCTCAGCAGGTTCGTGTTTCGCCGTTTTCTTTAGTTCATGTTAAATGAACACAGATGACCATTTGGATGCGGTCTGTTCCTTGTGTGTGCTGGGTCAGTTATCCTCTGTTCCTCTCCATTAAACTGTGCATCTCTGTAGTGTTTTTTCCTGCAGGAGTTGCTGTTTTTTGATTTGGTGAGTTTTATCACAAATCTTAGTCTTTGCCATGGAAGAGACTCAGCAGACCAGGGTTTACAGGAATGATGACTTTATTCAAAGAGCGCTCTGTCCATCTCGGCCACCCAGTCTAAAAAAGGAGTTTTTGGACCCAGAGCTTTATACTCTGTCCTCTGCCCCCCACCCCAGGACCCTTGGTACCGTTGTAAACTGAAGTCAGTGTTCTCAGAGCGTTAGATGCTGTTGTAAAAGGATGGAGTCTGCTTTCTCTGGGACTCAGATCCTACTGTAAATATCTTACCGTTGTAAAAGAGTGTTCTGTTGTGGGAAGAGTGTCATAAAAGGCATTTTGAACTTTCATAAATGAACCTTTTTAGCTACTATTTTAGCTACCATAGCAGAACTAGATTTTTAGGTAAAATAACATAATCCTCCTTTGCAGTAACATAAATCTCTGCTGATCATTATAACACAGTTCTAACACAGTTTTCACAATAAATGGTATTAAACTCTGGGGTTAATGTAACTGCTAATTCACCAAACTTTAATGCTGAAGATTGGTGTACAGACTGCTGGTCACACGGCAATGCAAACAATCTCGCCTAGCTCGTAGCTACGAAAAGGTAAAGAAAGAGATTTAAGACGAACATCGCATTGTGGAGACGAATGGACTTATTGGCATTTATAATCACTCCAACTGGTTTCCTAATATGTCTAATCTGCAACGAGAAACTGTCAAACACTAAGTCATGAAGTCAGCTTTTCGTTCGAATTCTCCCGTTCCACCTTAAATGGTGCCTAAGGCACCAGAATTGCAATATTGCTGCGCCATTTAAGGTGGAATGGGAGAATTCGAACGAGAAGCTGGTGAATGAGAAACTGACTTCAGCCTCGTAAAAAGTCGAATGTTGAGAGACGTTTTACATGAAACTCTACTTTCGCGGAAAAGTTTCCTGAGATGCGAGAAAAGCGGCTACAGTTGACCCAAAGCTTAAAGCAGAGCAAAGTAAGTCTGCGTTTTCATTTATATGATATTTTTAGGCTATACTAGTACATCAGCACATACTGAGACATACTTACAGCCAAGATGTTAAGACGGATATAAAATGTTGTGGCTCCCAAGGTGATTTCATTTTTGTTGAAAGGACAAAATTGCTCTTAACATTTGTGTTGCCGACCCCTGAGCTAAGCCCACTAGTAAGGAGTGATCTGCACATGACCGTTTGCTCCGACTGTCCGCGCCTCAGTCAGGATTGCACAATCGCCACTAGCCCAGTTAACGGCAGCGTTCTATGGTTCGAATTTTGCGCAGATTGCCTGAAGCCTGTAGCGAAATTGAAGCGAAAATTGTTGCTATAGCGTAAAAATTTGTAGGCCCTACGGCTGTTAGCTACATTTCATACCCATTCATTTCTATTAGCTACAAAAATCTGTAGTTAGCTACAGCACGCCACTTAGCTACTCCCCCATCCCTGGGTGTAGCCAAGGGTTGGCCAGTGCAGGCCAGTGCCACCCACTCAGCCAGGAAAGTGAAAGTCAGTCATCATCAATAAAACAGTCCTCATAAAAAGATGTCTTACTTTCCCTTTATGAGCAGCTATGCGTTACAGTGGAAATCTGCCATCAGGGTAGTTACCAGTCAGTTATAAGAGTCTGATGATGCTGCCTTTAATAATTAGCAGATCTTGCTGTGATAAACTAATGTGTGCTGGGTCCCTTCAACAGTGCTGCTCTGTGTTTATCATGCTAACTACTTACTTTTTACATGTGAATGCATGCATTATATACTGGACTAGATTCCATCTATGGAATCAGTTCATGCTAAAGCTATGTCAGCCTGTTTCTTTCTTACCTTACATGGTGCTGTCTGGCTAGCTTTCTAATCAATAAACTCATGTGTAACCTGTAGTGAGGGCCTAAATGAATAACTTCTCTGGCCTCTCTACATGAAATGTTTTGCTTAATGTTGTGAACTGAAAAAAGTGATGCATTTAATTTACTTGATTCAGCATTTCCTCATGAATGTATGAAATACATTGCATCAGTTTTGTCTTTCCTTTTCCTTTGAAAGTAATTGTATCGATGTGATATTTTATTTGTGTAGATATGATGGATAAATTTAGTTATGTACAGAAAAAATGCAGTGCATCACTTCTATGTCATATTATTGCAGCAGCACTATTTAGGTTTTTTTTTATCACAGTGTGCCACCCTAATAAAATCTCTGGGCCTAACCTGGTCACCCCATTCTAAATGTTCTAGCTATGCCCCTGGCTCAGCATTTAACAGCACAACACAACACGTACAAACATGTAACCAAAATGCTAATTGCCAAACGCTAATCACAGCAGGCTATAAAACAACAATAACTTGTTACAACCCTGAACTAAAATCCATATCTGTGAACGTGAAACTAACTTGAATACATGACTAACAAGCAGGTATTTTTTAGATTTACATTTTTTAAGAATTCTTTTTACATTTTGAGATGAGAACAGTATCATTTCAAATATGTTTATCCTAAAAATTACATCTGTATCTCCTATAATGCCTCACTCCTGTGATCATACTCACTCTCCTATTTAAAAAAATGCTGTTGTTAAGAAGACGTTATAGGTTGGGGGAAAAAGAAGAAATACAGTTGTATGCAGAAGTCAAATTACATGTTCTGTTGATTTTCTAAGCAAAAATAAGTTAACACATCCTCTACAGACAACAAACTTAAATATGCCTTTTTTCTAGGTTTAACATTTTGGAAAAAGTAGAACATCAAAAATAAAATGTGCCATAAAATGTGGGCTCTGCGAAAGTTATGTTTTATTTTTTTCCAGTATGTTAAATTCAGTAAATAAACAGTACATTTTCTGTACTGTTTATTTCCAGACTTTTGCATATGACTGTATAAATGGGCGCAGAGTCCGATTTCTAAACCAGATAAAATTCCAACAAATCCATCTCTCCTCTTTCTGTTCTACCTTTCCTCAAATAGGACACAGTGTCATTATTCCAAGTTAAATGTGAAATAAAGAGTGTGTGATGTGATGTTCTCCTGTAGAGCTGGTTTGTGTCTGTCTGTGGTTTTATGAAGGCAGGGAGACGTTAACGTTCCTCATACTTGTGTTTGTAAGGATGTGATATTTGGCACCTGGTTTATTGATTGTTATTGATCAGTGTTCAGTCATATCGTTAAACTGGTTGTTGCTTTTGAAGTTAATTTCAGAACAAGTGTGTGTGTGTGTGTGTGTGTGTGTGTGTGTGTGTGTGTGGTATGCAGAAACCAAGGTACTCATGCATATTCATTATAATCATTATAATGTATGCTCACTGTTTTCCAGACAGGGCCAAGTGGGACTTCTAACTTGTAGTCTGAAAAAAGACATGATACAGACTAGGCCTTTCCAAACTTACTTAACTGTATTTGTCCTGCTACACACACACAGCATCTTTATCATTTCTAACTTTTATGAACAATTTATAAGCTACACTGTAGGGTTGGGTGGTATGACAGTATTGCTGCCCAACCCTACAGTGTAGCATATAAATAGTTAATAAAAGTTAGAAATGAAAAAGATGCTGTGTGTCAGCATTTAAAAATGCTGACCGTTTTTAAAAATGTGATTCGCCAAATTTCTGTTTCAGGTCTGCCTTGAAAACTGGAACTTTCAGACATTTGCGCATCCACAATAAGGGAGGGGTGGGAGGGGTATGTGGTTCACTGATTGGTTGTGGGGGTGCTCATTGTTCGAGGCGATACAGCGGAGAGAAAAGCGACAAGGCACAATGGCTAGTGTCAGTGGTGAATTAAGCAATCTGGTGTCAAAGAAAAAATGCTACTGCTGCAGTTTGGCAGCATTTTGGATTCATTCCAAATTAAAAAGGAGAGCCATCAAACCTTGATGAACTAGTATGTAAGACCTGCCTAAAAACTGTCTCAGCTGAAGATGAAAACACATTGAACATGCATTCTCATCTAAAAACTAAGCACCTTTTACTATACATGTCCATGACAGCCCACTTCAGCACACCTGACTGGAAATTACAGTCTAATGTCTCGAAACAACCTTTTTCCCAGAAAGTCACACAGCTACCAACTTTGTTAATACGCTTGGTGATGTGCTCTGAGAAAGGCAACTGGATGAGAAAAAACCTACAGCCATAACTGGCCATGGTTAAACTGTTTCGGTCTGCAATATCAAAATTAAAAAACAGATTGCACTCTTGGAGTTTGCTGTATCATCACTGCGGCTTTCTCACACAGCTGACACAGAAAGAGAGAACTGAAAAAGAGTACTTGGGACTTCCTCAGCACAGCCTAATAGCGGTAACAGTTCAAACCCATTCTGTACTGTTGTATTTTATATAGGTTCACATAGAAAAATGCACTTTTTACAAATCTGCTGTTTTTCATCAGTTGGTTTATCAGTCAAACTTAATTTAATCTCTGAGGTAGAAAGTAGAGTGTGGCCAAAAAAGAATGAAACAGATAAACTGTGAAAATAACAGTAACAAATTGTAACATGGAAGAAAGTTTTTAAAAACAGGGAAATAAATTAATAAGCAAATAGGTAAATTATAAATTAAACCAGACATTCAAATAAAAATAAAAATAAAAAAAACTCAAATTAAGCAAATTAATACTAAGAGAGTTTTTTTATGAATTTGACTAGATTGTGCTACACCTTGGGGCTCCAAGTAGGCAATGATTGAGTGGATCCTTGAACAGGCGCAAGCTATCCGTCACATTCTGGCTGACAAAATACGAAGCAGTATCTGCCTGACACGGCAAGACACACATGTTCTACAGGCTATCAATGCTGCACTGAAACCAGTTAGTGCATTTACTGATATTTTG